GCACGCCCCGTCAAGGAGAACCGGAGGTACTTCTTTGAATTCGGGTGCATTGGAACATGGAGGTATAGCGCCTTTGAGATCGATTGACGAAGCCAATCCCCTGTCTCGACGGAGGAGATCACTGACCTGAGTGTCTTCCATCCTGAAAGACGGCACCTCCAGTAATTTGTTCAGCCCTCTGAGATTCAGAATGGGTCTGAACCCTCCGCCCTTTTGGTCACGCAGGAAGTAGGTGGAATAAAACCCTCTTCTCGCTGACTCACAGGAACCACCTCGATGGTCAGCTTTGGTCAGTAAAGACTGAACCTCGGCACGGAGGACTTCCGCCTTGTCAAGGAGGGTCGGCACAGGCGTGTGCCGAACCCCGAGAAGGACGGAGGATCGCGCCTCCACTGTGGCAAATGGCCATCCCTGAGCGTGGACAGGACCCAGGGATTTGAGGTGGCTGCCTCCCACTCCCGGAGGAATAGGGACAGCCGCCGCCGACAGGGACGGTGTGGCAAGAGGCAGTGCACCCCACCGCCGGCAAGTCTCCGCCATGCGTGGAGTGGGGGCAACAAGGGCTCTGGGGAATGAATCAGTGGGAAGCCGGGCTGGCTTCCCCTTGCCCCGAAAAGACTGCTGCGCTGGAGCAGGCTTGCCCCTGCCTCTCGTGGCGCCTGCTCCGCTTTGACTGCAAAGGGCAGCCCACTTAACAACATCCTTCGCCGAGGCAGAAGGGTAAGCGGACGAGCGGGGAGGGCCGATGGCGCAGGAGCGGAGGGCTGCCCAACAAAGGCTTTGAGTCCTTAAAGGTAGAGACAGCCTCCGGCCTCCCCTTACCACCTGCAAGGCCCCAGGGAACAGGGAAGATCCCATGGTATAGGGCAATGACAGTAGAGCTTGCTGTGTGGCCGGGCTAATACCAAGGCCACAGACAGCCACAGGCGGCGCGAAGCCCATGACGGCATTCCATCATCTGGCTGGCACAGCAATCAATGCTGTCCCGAGCCAGATGCGAAAGTGTACGCCCGTTAACTGCCGCTACGAGCACCGACTCGATGAATCGGCACCGCAAGCGCTGTGGGCCACCAGCTGTCCCTGCAAAGCAGACAGGTAGGCTGAATGGACGGCTACTTTAAGTTGTTGGTCGCAAGACCGTAACATTCTTCTTCAATGACCGGTAGGCAGACTTCAGCGGCAGTGACGTATTAGCCGGAAAAGGGGAGGCGCCTGCCCTGCCTGGCCGAGGCCAGGGAAGACGAAGAAGACCCTCCTAACGCGGACTGAGGCAAAGACGCGACTCGCCCACCACTGGTGGTTCAAGAGCGCCTCCTCACCTAACTGGTACCGCCTCGCCCACGCCCGCAAATCAAAACGCCGAAATGCAGTACCAGCCAGGAGCGGATTCACCACCTCACTGACCAGTGATGGGAGAATGCGCGAGGGCGTGCCTCTGCGACCCGGTTAGGTCGAACGCCCCCGAGCCGAAACTCAGCGGGTCGGGTGCCGGGATGGGAACAGCCACCCGCGGCAGGACTTCGCGATCTTATCCCGAACCTGCCGCAGGGACGCAGGCAAAGGAGTACGGCACTCCCGCCCGATTCCACCGCCCCTTCCTCCTCCTCCATATCGACCTCGGCAGAATCCTCGCCGCCATAATCTCAGACTCCTGAGAGAACGCCGAGGAGACGCCAGAGGCAGGACCAGAAAACTCATAAGGTCAAGAGGAGCCAGGGGAAAACATCACCCTGCCGGGAGGAACCCGCGCCAGGTCGCCGAAGTCGCCCGAGAGGAACCTGCCGCGAACAGGCTTCCCGGCAACCCAGACTGGCTGCCAGGCCGAGGTATCCCCGAACTGGTCGGGCGCTTCAGGCGACCGCCAGTCGGGACACCAGGCAATGACAGGGGCAAACCTGTATCGCGGGCACCAGGCACCTGTGACAGACCAGCGATAAAGCCAGGTCGCCACCAGACGCCGAGGGTATGCCATCACCAGGGCCGGCCAGGATCAAGCCGCCCGGGGAGGCGTTGCTCCGAGCCGGCTCGGGCCGCAGCTAACCCCCAGATGTGTCAGCCCCGCTTCGACGACATCGGGCGCTGAGCTCCTTACGAACCCCGCTAACGCCGTATCAATCAAGGACTTGACTGACGACATCTGCTCCTGGAAAAACGGTTAACGAATCAACAGGAACACTTTTACAGGTGCTGAATCAAGAGGGGGTGGCGGGTACAGAGACGGAAGCAGTAGGAGATGCAGAAGGGGCATGAGTGCGTGAAGACAAAGCCGCTTTGGTTGCTTTAGCTTTTTGGGAGCCGGCTCGCGGCGTGGGAAGCGGCCCCGTGGACCCCTTTTTTTACTATGGGAGCGCTTTGGACGGGGATCCTGTGCCCAGAGATCACCCCCGCCGAAGCAGGTTGCTGTAAAACAGCGTGTCTATCCGCCTCGCCCGGAATGGTTTGGGGCAGAACATGGCACATGCCGCGACACCCCTCTTCCTCATGTTCCTTCTGCACTAAACAGCGTAAGCAGACCTCGTGGGTATCCCGCACGGGAATTGCAGCAAGGCACGGCACAGGGTTTAAACTGCAACAAGTAAAACCTGTGCAGCAATCTACCCTATACCCACATACAAATACATGTAAAAAGACGATGGGGGCGACACAACTAATGCGACAAACGTAGCATGCAGTTGACAACCTAGTACACACTGCAGCATAACTAACAACCACGGTTTTTAGCGTAATATAGAAAATGCGAGCAGTAGACATACTCTACACGCATACAAAGATACAAATAAAACCACTAAAACCACCTGTAACATTGAAAACCACATGGGAAACCAATGAACAGGAAGGTTAAGCGAAGGGACCTGTCCGCCATCTTGACACGCACTAGCGAGCCGAATCGCGACAGGTACCAAGTTACAACGAGAAATTATGAATGAAAAATTCAGAAAAACCTCCAATTCGCCCATGCAGGGAAAAAAGAGAACCATACATACAGTTGCAGTTTCTGAAACACTCATAACTCTCTTAGTCGCAAGGAAAAACCTTCTGGTATGGACCCACGTCTTGTCGGTACAACGACAGCATGGAAAGTGAGGTACGAGGTTACGGTCTAGAGTTACCTGCTCTTGGCTGTAGGGGCCGGAAGGCCCTGTAAGGGTGGTCTCACAAGACAAAACGTAGTTTTTGTTTTGTAAATATTTTATTCAAATATTGTTACAACTGTCGTAGGGAATTTAAATGGACATTTAAATGCTTATAAGTACCCCAAGGAGGAATATATAAAAAAGAATCCTCCAGCTCCGAAGTGGGGGTGACTGAACGGCAGGCGATCTTGATTAGCCTTGACGATCTTTCTTAGCCTTTTTAGCAGACGAAGGGCCAAACTCCTCAGCCTGTTTACAAGAGTCCCTGTTGGCACAGCGGCATGTACTGATCCTCCTGTAATCTGTAAAGGTGTTGTCATCCAGATGTTTACACTGCTCACACCTGTTATCCCATAAGCATAAACCAATGCAGTCAACACAAGATGTGTGCGGGTTGGACGTAGAAAATATCTTCTTACACTGGTTACGAAAGTTCCTCTTCTTGGTAGAAGAATCCGATTTCCGCATGGTGGTAAGGGAACATGAAGAAAATCTTCTTGTCTTACATAAACGTCCACACAGCAGGGCGACAAGAAAGAGTATGATGAGAGAAGGGTGGTCACGTGAGCAGGTAGTGGAGCATGCTGCATGCTTCTCAGGAGACACAGGAACTGTCTTATAAGGGGAGCAGCATGGAGTGCATGGGCAAATGGACACAAGAGGCCTAGATTGGGTTTACATTTTTAGTTTTCACTCAGTTCGTCAAATTGAAAAGAGAGAGTACAAGACGTGAGTTTGAATAAGTTTAAAAATTTGTAGTTTCAGACAAGACGTGAAACATGTAACCTGAACTACAGACTAATATCTCCAAACTTGCAACAATTAGTGAGTGAGTGTGAAAATCTTCCTCTGTTTGACTCCCACAGACATCCATAGTTGGAATCATGAATCACCTGTATAAGTGGGTTAGACTTTCTACACCTAATTGGTTTACCTTAAATACTACTCACACTTTGCTAAGGATCACAAAACTTCCCAACTTTACTTAAACATTTATAATTTGAAATTGTTTCCATTTAAAACTAGATATGGTGACCCTTCTTTAGGCAAACAGTCACTTTAGTCTAACCTTATGCACTTGATACATGAGTAACTATAAAAATGGTTTTCATGGCACCAATCAACCATTTTGCAAATCATGGAACGGGTCACTGACAAGTACACAACACCTGTCAGTAGCAGGTATGGGATCCACAAGATGCAGTGACATACTGAAATCTGGGATCCATGCTTACAATAAGCTTAGACATTTAAACCAAATTAGACCCCACATCATAGTTTTCTGTTGATTCAATGATTTGATCCTTGAAAAACGAGGATAGTTTTATGGATATACAACTTCTTTAATATAATATGAGCGAAGTTTCGGTGTAGCTACTAACACCGTTATCAAGCAAATGCCACTCAAACAAGATTTGATCCTTAGCAAAGTGTGAATAGTATACATGTACTAGGTTCCTCCAGTGTAGCTTAAACTCATGTACATTGTATGCGCAAGTGGAGTGGACCTACCATTATTTCTACTGGCAAACAAGGATAAGTTGGACCGGCACAGAGAATGTGCTTAGGAGAAGTAGGCGGTGCACGCCAATAAGAAAACCCATTTGGTTTGTGAAAGGTAGAGCAGATGTAGGATAGTGCACGTGCATTGCACGACAATGAAATTGATTCTCGCGTGTAGCTGCACACGCCTTGAGCCTTGCTTCACTCATCGCACTACACTTGATCGCGGACAACCTGGGGCCCAGTGGGCTGCACTCATACCCGGTACATGCTAATACGGGTCAATTGTCAGGTCGGTGCTCAACCTATCCTTGTTTATATAAAGTATAAAGACTCTCATGGCATGAGTGGAGGCAGGCCTACCAGTATTTCCAGTATGGCCCGTGTCCATCGTTCTTGTGGTTGAGTATCCAAGAGGCTGCATGGCACAACTCATGGATGAGGGTGTCCCTCACTCGCTCTGAGAACACAAGAAGTGCATACATACATTTTATCTTTTCACTGAAAAAAGAAGCCAAAGATATGTTCGGATTGGGTGCAAATTTATTTATTTCAAGCATCATCTTGAGCAAATTCTATTTTACTTTAAATCCCAGGCTGCAATATATGTGTTAGTAGGTGAGACTCCACAGTCCCACAGAAATACAGATAAATGGGCATACCCATTCAGGCTGTCTATCACACTGTCGTGTACTTCACCAAATAGACTTAGTGTGTGAGTGGGGTTTTAATCTGCCAGTATAGCATGGGTTGTGACTTCCTACATAGATGAAACATAGTATGGCCATGTTTGGTGCAGTCTACTTTAGTGTGGCTGGAATTGTTCCTAAAGCTGCACTAACTTAAGCATTGCCAGGAAACTCTGTAGATAACAGTCTACCAATCTTTTTATGTATGAAACTGAGAGGTGCTGAATTAGAGATTTTTGAACTTACATAGCAATGTGCATGGTTCCTGCTCCTACTGGTCCAGACAAGCCCATTGAAAAGCCATTCCATAGTTCAACATGGGCAACTGTCTCAGACACATTATACCAAATCCAAGTGGACCAGTTGTTGATTTCCCCCTTCATGTCATGCACCAGGCAGGGCAACAACAGGTACTATCTACTGCCGTCTAATGGTATGATGCAGTCAATGAGGTCAAAAGGTGGGCATGGTGGGCGAGCTGGCTAAAGCCCCAGGCTAGTGATCCAGCAAGTACCGGTATGAGGTGTCGGGGTCGAGCCCACTTGTGATCGGGTGTAAAAAACCTTGGAGTCAACTTTGTGTGCAGACTCTTTCAGTGTTGTCACAACCCCTAGTGTACAGTACACAACCCTGTGCACTTAAAAGAACCCATGAATCCGTTGGTATATGGCCAAATGGTGGCCATATGAATACGTGCAAACACCTAGTTGCAGGTACAGCAACGTGCAGTAAACTTAGACAAAGTACTGTGTCTATGTGTCCAAGTCCACCCAGCTGTGAATGGGTACCTCGTATGGATGGGAAAGCTGTAATTACTCGGTGCGCCTAGTGGCTGCAAGAGTTGTATGATCCCCAGGGAGTTGAGATTGATAATACGATGTGCCGTTGAGATTGACATCCAATGATCGAGAGAAAAACTACCAGCGCCATGAGCATGAACTAGTGCGTGAATATGTGCGCTATATACATATCCAATAATAATAATAATATTAATAAAATCTTGACCTTCTCTATGTGGAAACACTCTGTCCACAACACCATGGAGACGGCTGAATGTATTAAAGGTGAATTCTGTTCCCCACACAATTCTAAGTAATTCACACATGAAGGTCTGGGTTAGAATGAACCTTCAGTAACCCATGCTTGTTGTAAGAGGCACCTAACGGGATCAGTGGGTCAGGCTCCCTGGCTTGGTTGACGCATGTCATCGGTTCCCAATTGCGCAGATTGATACTCATGCTGTTGATCACTGGATTGTCTGGTCCAGACTTGATTATTTACAGACCGCCCCCATATAGCTGGAATATTGCTGAGTGCGGTGTAAAACTGAACTCACTCACTCCCTCACTCACTTAGTAATTCATTTAACGAAATTTACTCCTGAATTTCCCATGAATGTCAATTGTGACTTTTATGCTGTTTTTACGAATATTCCAGCGACACTAAGTGAGGGCTATCAGAAATTGCCGCCATGTGGGAAATCAAACACCAGCTTTTGGCATGACAATACATCTGCCATCAACATATCCATGAGGCTACCCCACATCGTCCCACAAGAACCAGTGCAATAAATTAAACCGGCACACATGTCTATTAATGAACATTCTAAGATGCCCAGCGGTTAGAACAATCGAAAAAAACATACATTATGAGACATTAAAGGTATAGTTTTTTGATGTCGTAACAATTGAATGACGTTATCCCGTCCCTGCGCCATTCTAGTGTGCCCCCTCGTAATCGAACCATTTTACATTACGTCACAATGTAAGCCACGTCACGATGCATGTCAGTTGTCATCGCCTCGTACAGCCTCCTACAGTAAACTACTGCGTTGCATCCCGTTTCTTGGTTTGCAGTTGCTTCACTCACCTAACATCACTGGTAGAAACAATACTGTTATGTTTTCTGACGTTTTAAATGTCTCAATTCGACTCACAAGTTTTCAGCTTACACGGTAACGCTCGCAATGTTTACATTCCCACAATGCAATCGCGTGGAATGTCGCTTGACTACTCAGCTTCGTCTGGATGTACTGATCTAAACATACGCTGGTAGTAGAAATGCGACGCTCACATGGTTTACGTTAATCACAGATGTAATTAAAATACTTTAGAGAAGATATTTAATCCGGAACGTAAACCGCCATCAAACTGTTTATCATTTGTTTTTCTGATAACGCTCGCCTTAACGAGGGGACAGACACATCAATAGAACAGCCAGCCAGTTAGCCATGTGCCAGGATTCTTAATTTAGGTCACTGACACCGCCGCTTGTTTTCTGCCTTAAATTAATCATAATTATCCTTAGAAAGTATTAAATTTGGCATCTTAGAAAGAAATACAGTTCGCTCATACCACCATGTATAGTGTAATAAAACACACTTTAAGCCCTGAACTATTATAGTTAAAGCAAGCGCAAAGCGCCCTCGTGCTTTAACTATAATAGTTCAGGGCGAAAGTGTGTTTTATTACACTATACATGGTGGTAGAGCGAACTGTATTTCTTAAGTAAGTACATGATGCTGTGAATAATGAAGGCAGCATTCCAAAATATAAGGTGAAGAGAAAAATTAATGTGTTTTACCTGCGGAATCACAGACTTTGTCGGAGAGCTCCACCTTGGCCGTGTGTCCTCTCATGTATTTGCAGTAGCCCGCAGTCTTCAGCAGGCGCTTGTTCCACGCAATGTCCAGGGACGACGGAAGCTGCAGACACAAATATATATATGATATTGTCAAAGTGAGCTGGGTTAAACTCAGAAATCATTCAGCATGTCAACACTGCGAACCAAGCTATTACATCTCACAGCTGCCAGGTAAGTATCCCGACCCTTCAGGGCCCTTATTCTTAAACATTCAAAGTTAATAATTTTTAACTTTGATCGTAGCCAATGTGTTAAGAATGGGTTTAAGAAGTTCATAGGGCTACGACCATTTCGAGAATAGCTAGCCAGGATACTAATGGACGAGCACTGGCTGCCAGTCCTACATGAGATCATATATAAGATAATGTGTATCAAAGGTACAGGCCCAGGTTACCTGCATGACTTCATTGTTCCATGCAAACCAAACCACTTTGATCTCAGGAAAGCCATCTCGTGAATATCCCAGTAGTGAATACATTCTCATCTGTAGCATCACTTGTATGGAACCAGCTCCCATTTGAGCTAAAAAATTCTCTACTCTATTTTCAAAGCACTTCTCAAGCACTCACCTCTCCTATGATGCCTTCTATGAAACTTCCAAAACAACATTACCCCAATCACTTAGGTCACTGAGAGTAAATCGTCTAGATTTGAACAATGTCTTTAGAAAACTTAAATCCCTTAGGGCAGTGAGAGTAAATCGTCTAGATTTTAACAATATCTTTGGAAAACTTAAATCCCTTAGGACAGTGAGAGTAAATCGTCTAGATTTTAACAATATCTTTGGAAAACTTAAATCCATTAGGGCAGTGAGAGTAAATCGTCTAGATTTTAACAATATCTTTGGAAAACTTAAATCCATTAGGGCAGTGAGAGTAAATCGTCTAGATTTTAACAATATCTTTGGAAAACTTAAACACTCATGGTGTGTAATTTGGGTTTGTTCCCCTTTGAACAGTATTTCATTTATTTCACAGAACAGTCAGCTTGATGTAGGACAACAGCCCAACGTGATACAAGTTTCTGGCACACACAAGGGACACAACTCTGCACAGTGAATGGCAACACCTGAGCGCACGGGCCTCTTTCCTCCACAGTATGAGTGAGTGAGTTGGGGTTTACGCTGCTTTTAGCAATATTTCAGCAATATCACAACAAGGGACACCAGAAATGGGCTTCACACATTGTACCCATGTGGGGAATTGAACCTGGGTCTTCGGGGTGACAAGCTTACGCTTTAACCACTAAGCTATCCCATCACCCATGCACAGCGTGAGGTGAAGCAACAAAGTTAGCACAAACCTTCTTATCAAACACAGTTTGGTTGTACAGCTTGTAGAGACGTTGAGTCAGCTCCATCTTGTATTTCTTGAACTGTTTCACGTATCTGAAACACAGGAGTGAGCGAGTTTGGTTTTACATTGCTTTTAGCAACTATCCAGCAATCTCAAGGTGGGGTACACCAGAAATGGGCTTCACACATTGTACCCATGTAATGAATCGAACCCGGGTCTTTGGCATGATGAGCAAACGCTTTAACCACTAGGCTACCCCACCGCCCCCTGAAACACAGAGAGTATTTATAACTAAACATGTTCGGGAATCATGATTAAAATCCTGAGTGGTCAAGACAAAATTGTGGAAAAGGTAAATGAATTGTGCACGTAACAGGACAACTTCTTCCTGTGGACTGTCTTAGGGAGAGGCATCTCAAGGGAAGCAACAAATCTAATTGTCCTTACCAAAGTCAATTATCTACAATTTCGAAGCAAAGAGAATAAGATGGAAGGTTGTATACTTAGTCGAGACTGATCATTGGTCTAAATACTGATGGCCTAATAACTAAGATTGATCCTTGATCTGGCAGAACCATATTCATGTTAACAATTTCACCAAAGTTGAAAACGTCATTTTGGTTTTCTTAAATCATACCTGACACGTCATGTGAATTATTGCTGAAGACTATTTAACACAATACAGTGTCAAGAGGCACATTGGGAGACAAGACTGTCCAATACATTCTCCAGCAACAACTCACGTGGAGGCCTCCGGATGTCTCCTGTGGTCAGGCAGGTTGGAAGTCAGGGATTGGAGGAAGCTACATATTTTCACACGGCTGGCTGAGCTGGTGACACTGGATTCCACCGAGCTGGGGATCCGAGATGATGACACAATCGGAGCTCTGGGAGTCTCGTACTTCCTGTGGACTATCTTTGGTAGAGGTGTCCCTTTGGAAACAACAAACTGTTGTAAAATGGGTGACATGAGAAACCCTGTATTATTATGGGGACTTTGCACCATGGTTTAGAGCCTAGTTTTTACCAAATAGAAACTTTATATGATTTGGGCCTCACAGGAGTATGGATGGTCAACAGTATTCTAGAAGTAGAACATATCTAATTGTTTGTACCAGATGTGTGTACATACTTGCTTTTGCCTTTGTCTCTTGTTTCTGTGATGTCTTTGGTCTATATTCTTCTTCCTCATCGCTGTCATCATAGGTCACATCTCCATCTTCATCAGTCTCGTCAGACTCCTCGTCACTGTTGGTTAGATATTCTGGAATCCTACAAGAGGGGAAACATAGTCGTGAGTTATACTGCATCCCAGGATGGATTGACTGGTTAGAATGAACTGACTGACTGACTGAGTTTGGTTTTACGCCGCTTTTAGCAATATTCCAGCAACATCACGGCGGGGGACACCAGAAATGGGCTTCACACATTGTACCCATGTGGGGATTCGAACCCGGGTCTTCAACGTGACGAGCCAATGCTTTAACCACTAGGCTACCCCACCACCCGGTTAGAATGGAAACAATGATAACATGGTGTTCAGAATACAGCAGTAATGTCAATCAGAGGTACAGATAAGCTGCGTATCTGCATAAATTATGCAAATATTTATGTGAAAACTCAATTCCTATTAAGTCTGTTGCATACAAGTACAGTTGAAATTTTGTAAATACTCTATAATACACACAAAATAGCGAAAATAACTGAGGTATATTGAAAGGTTCTATTTCAGCACATGAACTTGGCAACTTCCAGTCTTTTTGATCCTTTCTCATATTACAGATCAAATATAAAGAACAAACATCTAAACCAACATGTAAACTTTAGTATATTCTTACAATTTTTGGAAAATGGTAAAATACCCACTTGAGTTTGAGTGAGGTGGGTACAATATATTTGGTTACTCAAAGGAAAATTAGGATACCTAATTGACATGAACACCAGCAAGTACATAACTCAATGACCCAAAAAGATATCTGTAGCTCTGATGTTGATGATTATGTGTTTAGAACCTCTTGATTCAAGTACTATTGTTTGCTTAACATCATTTGGAAAGAGTGTTATCAAACCACATTCTACGATGTTGAATTTTGCCGTATGACCATGAGATCCCAACACAGGTAAGGGACACAACTCTGCACAGGAAGATATAACACTTGGAAAGAGTGCTTCGTTGGCCTCCCATTGTGAACAGTGAGTTTGTTTAATGCCATTTTAAAAAAAGCATTACAGTTGTATCAAGGCATGTCACAGCTTAATGTGATAAAAAGTCCGAAGTGATTCAAGACATTTTCCACTTAGGTGCATCCCACCAGCATTGGTAGGGGGCAGAAGGAATCATTTGGAACCTGGAACTAAAGAACCTAGCCATAGGATTCTGGCTCATTTAATGTAAGCAATTTTCAACCACAAACTGCACCCTCTCATCTAAGACAACACCATTCTATGGATAGAGTTCTGCCACCAAGTCAAGTGTCCCTGTGTGATCACCCTGCCCACCCATCATGAACAAGAAGACACTGACACAGTCAAAACCAGAGAATTTACTATGGATTAGTGCTGGCTATCAGTGACAATATATTGATCGAGTTAATTGATGAGAGTTAATCGGTCAATAAACACTGTGCAAGGAGTCAGGAGTGAGTAAAGTTTTACGACGCTTTGGGCAATATTCCAGCAATATCACGGCGGGGGACACAATAAATGAGCTTCACACATTGTGCCCATGTTGGGAATTGAACCCAGGTCTTCCGTGTGACGAGTGAACGCTTTAACCACTAGGCTACCCAGCTGCCCTTATGAGTTGGAAACTGCATCAGTAGTATATGTCTTGATTTAACAAACATAACAAAAAGACACATACTTTCTAAAGCTTAACTTGACATTTCATTTTTATGAATATTCATTAGTTCCCGAGCTCATTGATAATCGCTGATACAAGAGGGATCAATCGAGTGAGTATTTGATCCCCCGCTACTAAGGATGCTAACCTTGCACCAGGTGCTGCAACATACCTCGGTGGCCGCTTCTCCTTCTGAGTGTTGTCCACCTTGAGGTAGAAGACATCGTCCTCTGAGCCACTGCTGACGATGGAGTCATCATTGATAAACTCCTTCATACTGGAACAATAGAAACAGTGTACACAGGTTCACATTTACATGAGGAGACACTCTACCAGTTACACATGCAAAACCCTTGTATTCTTCAGAATAGAAAATCCCTCCCTGCGCTATATTTCACATTCAAGGTTATGTAAGTAAACCCTGTGGAGACTAGGTTAGAACTGGGGCCTGATTCACTAAACTTCTTAGAATTTTCTTAGTTTTTATGCTTAAGTTTCCTTAAGAATTCTTAGCTGAGAATTTTTCTTAAGTAGCAATCCACCAAGCCACTAAGCATAAATCTTAGCTGAGATATTTTAAAATTCTTAGAATTTTCTTAGTGAGAAACGCATGGGATTATGGCTGATAAAGGATGACTTCTTTGAGTGAGAGGTGAAATTTCATTGGAAATGAGACTTACTACAAATTGTATACCATCTTTTGATAATCTAAATGTTCGTGACAACTCTGTTTCTGTGTATTTTTCTAAAATGTTGGTTCTATCGATGAATGCATTGGCGGCCATCTTTGTTTACTTTAAGAAAATTCTTAGTGCTTAAGTAACCTACGGAGGATTCTTAAGTTAAGAAAAAATCTTAAAGGTCACATGCAACCAAAAAATCAAACATAATTAAAACACAATTATCACTTCTTCATGACATATAATATGCATTGCTGATTATGAAAAAACAAATAAACAAAATTATAAGCGTATAATCGCAAATCAAAAGTGCAATATTTTGTACTTGGGTTTACCTCCCTCGAAACGAAGCAGCCGGGATACCGAGCCCAGTCAGAGCGGGTGGGTGTGCACTCAAGTGTAACGGCTGGTTCATTAGCAGATGCCGCCTATCCCGGCTCATTGTGTGTGTATATATATAGATGTTGGGTTTTGTAAATACATGCTCATTTTATGTGTATAACATTTTGCAATCAACAGACATCATAACATGTCATGTGTTCAAGTATCACACCTGCCTGTCTGTGTAATTACATAATGTGACAGAGACCGAACTCGGGCCATAAATCAATGCGTTTTGTTTATGGTGTATAGCCTGATTGGTGTTAAGTTCAAATTGCATGTGGTCAGTGATCGCAGTTGTGTATTGAATATTGTCATTAGCAGACAGGCAGGCAGACACACAGGTGTCAATAAAACAAGACATTGAGTTTTGTCTGTGACAGCGACATATCTATATCACAGTTAGAAATTGTGTCAACGCTAAATAATGACATTGCTTTTAAGTATCGAACTGAGAAAGTGACTAGGTAAGAAGAAAGTGTGGTGAAATAGACAAATGAAATTATATAAACAGTTAATTTACTGTCATAACATATAAAAGCTCGCGCCTCGTGAGATATCAACAAAACATTAGGAAAATAGCTCACACCAGAGCCTTCACCGAGTATTCACCAGACAGCCCGCTTCCAAGTTGCGTGAACCTATTTCACTGCGCACGTGCTGTGAGCGTTGTCCAGCCTGTTGAAACCCGTATTCCCCAGAAAAGTCTGGGGAAAATTAGTGAAACGTTTGAACTCCGATTTCGCGCGTTTTTTTTCATCGCGTTATTTTTCAACTTTATAAGTTGAATTTGCATTTTTGACGCTTTGTTTCGGTAAGTTCATACCGAAAGGTATCAGAATCTGCAAAGTTGTGTTTTACGTTGCATGTGACCTTTAAGCACTAAGAGGTTTGATGAATATTGCTTAAGCAAAAATCTTAGTTTTAGATAAGTTGCTATGGAAACTTAGAATTCTTAGTAGAACTAAGAATTCTTAAGGGTTAAGAATATTCTAAGAAGTTTAGTGAATCCGGCTCCTGGTCCCTAACAACGACCTATGGTGACCCAATTTGATGGATCAGGTGGTCAGAGTTAGCGACTTAGTTGACTGAGTATAATCGTATTATCAATCATAAGATCATAATTTGAATAACTGGTGTGTCTGGTCTGGTCTGGACTGAAACATTTCAAAACTGCCATCATATTAAATGATTCTGCAAAGCGTAGCGTTAATCAAGTTTATGTTAAAAAATAACGAATGGTGGTCCACTGACTTGGATGGAGGTACTCTCAGCAGACTTGGAGAATCAAGATTCCTGTAATTGGCTGCCTATAGAAAACGATGTACTGGGGAAGTCTGGTTATAGGTTTGTTTACTGTCTTCAAAAGTGATATGCTTTTTGTGTGTTAAGAGGGCAATGAAATGTACTCTAATCCCCTGACTGGGAAAAAATGTCATGCTTGTCCATGGTCTACTGCACACCATAAGTCGTCTACACATACAATGACAATGGTGAACCACTGCACGACATCCAGAAGCTGCTTATAAATGCATGCTGAGGAGGCTGTTGGCATACCGGGGCCTGTTTGACAAAGTAATCATTGAGCTAGGAGAGTCACAAGTCTATGTTAAATAAAGTACAGTGATTACTTGCTGAACATGGCTCTGGTCTGTGTCTTGCAACATAAAGAGACCTATAATTTAGATGTACTTTAGTCTGAGAATCAACCAACCCTAAAGAAAGAAGAGAACTTGTTTATTTTCCCTGCTGAGTCCAAAACAACACATACATGCAATACATTCAGACTGAGCCGAGATCGATGATGTCATCATAATAATGTTTTGAAAACGAAAGGTTAAATGCTTGAGCATCAGTTCCATTCCAGTTTTTACCCCACCTACAGACCAGGGCCTCCTTTCACAAAGCACTAAGGTGATTGTAAGTCACTAAAGTGACCTCAGTGCAATGTTAGAGAATGGGAGATAAGATTAACCTTAGTAGAAGGTTGCTTCGTGAAAGGAGCCCCAGGATTTTGTCTTCTAAAAGAAAGTTGTAAACAGGGAATAACAAAATGCATGGCCTTCCCATGCTTATAGACACAACTTACACAGTAATCATACAGAAATCTGAGGGCCTCTTATTAAATGTGGTGGTGAAACGTGTTTGGAAGTACCACTATTTGGTGCAGTAGTGATTTGTGGGGTGCTTCAATCACTTTATCGACACGAATCACTGACAAAACACAGTAATTATTCATAATTAAGTCATCCATCCATCCTCCCAAAATCCATCCATCCACCCGCCCTCCATCATTTGTCTGTCCACCCATCCATCCACCCACCTGTCCATCCATCCATCTATCTATCCCTCCGCAGCAAATCTCAAAGACCTAAAGACCTCTCCTTATTTCCAATACTGCTGAATGTACAGACTGAAAATATCCATTTCTTACCTGTCTGAATCTGAGGTTTCTGAGGACACTTTTGTTTTCTTGGTCATCTTTTGGCTTTTCATTTTCTTGAAAACTGTAAACAGAATATGTTGTTTATTCCTCAAAACCATGAGTTACCTTAGAAACAGTTTTGTCTTCAGCAACCCATGCTTGTCGTAAAAGGCGATCATTTACAGACCGCTGCCATACATTGCTGAGTTGAGCGTTAAACACCAACCAACCAAGAAACAGTTTTGTCTTCAACAGCTATATTCGTATTATTCTATATTGATTCATATTCTTATAAGAGGAATAATATTTGATCCACAAAAGTCTGTATAAGTTTAAAGCATACCCAGTAGAAGTTATTTATTTTGATTATCTCAGGTTTATGTCAATGAGAAATGAGCATTAATCTTTTCAGCAAATGCGTGTCCTGGCCACCTAATGTATTAGTGACACTAAAATAAGTCAAAATGCTGATTAAAGCAAGGTTAAGCTTTAAAATATTTGAAATATTTTCTAGCATTCGATAAGGTGATTGATGCAAGCAATTTAATATGGCAAAAACTTTATCTCATAATATTTTCTAAAATCATCAGTTTTCTTCATTTTAGCAACACAAGTTCAATAAAAACAACTTCATATGTCTGTTCATTTAGCATTTGCCTTTTTCCCACCATTTTTGTTTAGAAAAAGAATCATTCCTCATGTATGGGTGCTAAGTTTATGGAGGCACTTCCCAAGTTCTATATGGACCAAGGCAAGTTAAAACTAATCCAGGTTAGAATGGGTCTTCAGCAAATCATTCTTGTCGTAAGAGGTGACAAGCGGGATCGGGTGGTCAGGCTCGCTGGCTTGGTTGACACATGTCATTGTATAGCAATTGCGTAGATCAATACTCATGCTGTTGATCACTGGATTGTCTAGTCCAGGCTCGATTATCACAGACTGATGCCATATAGCTGGAATATTGCAGGGTGAGGCATTCAACAACAAACAAACACACAAACTAAAACTAAACACAGAACTGGCTCATTCCAGAAAGCAACTGAAGCATGACAACAGTGAAAAGTCCATGTAAACCTATGGGAGCTACATTCATCTCAGCACTTTGTTAAGGAATTGAAAATTTTATAATAAATTGTATATTTATATACTTATCCTATCTCGCGGTATGCACCATCTCTCTCTTCTACGACCATGTGTGGAAACGTGCTGTCAGCTAAGTTGAGACAAATCCACACATGGTCGTAGAAGAGAGAGATGGTGCATACCGTGAGATAGGATAAGTTTAAAATTAGATCCTAGTGTCCCAATCCCCAGGAATTCTACTACAAGACAACTCACAGTTCTCAAGGTCTTCTTCCTCCTCACTTGACTTCCCTGAAGCTCTGCTTGGTCTGTGGACAGAAGGATGTTCCTGTCTGACTGTGACATGTAATTATGGTCATACTGTTTCTAAATTTTCTGATATTATGAACATATCAACATGAACATATCATGATCATTTATCATGCATATTCATTTAATCCCCCAAAATCTGAAATACTAAAATAAGAACAAAAGTATGAAGAGCAGTTAGGTTTTTTATTCTACTCACCAGAAATTCATTTTACATTACTATCAATACAAACAAAATCTCTAAAATGTAATGATCAAATTTGTTGAAAATGATTGTCAAATATGCTGTTTATCTGCTCCTATAAGTTCTAAACAAAACACACCCAAGAGAATCCTCTATAATCTCCAGGGTATGCATTCCGATAATTCTCCACTACACCCTGGATGCATCTACGGCTCGAGCCGATGATTTTATCACCTCCCTTTGCTGGCTCCACATTCTCACAGTAGCCAATCAGATAAGCCGCCGTTACAACCAAGCTTGCCAGTGTCAACAAAGATAGCAGTCGCAGTTTGTTCGCAGTGCGACTCAGATATGGGGGAAAAACATCCAGACAATTTGACAGGTCTGAAATCTTAAAATAATATATGCTCCTTTATGTGCTTTATTTGCTAGAACTCCTTTTACCTCTTTCAGAGTACCTCTGCAACAATATATTATTGTGTTGCCAAGTTTAATCGGTTAGATAATTTAAAAAGCGAAAGTGAGTTGTGATTGGTACGCTCAACTTCCCACCATAGACACCTGATTTGATAAAAAGCTCACCAAGGGAGGTAATAAAATCATCGGCTCGAGCCGTAGATGCATCCAAGGTATAGTGGGATTTATCGGAACGTATACCCTGGAGATTATCGAGGATGACCTATCATGATATATATAGGTTATTTAGTGGTTGTAGTTAAATAGCTTGTTTATCTCATGGGTCATCCTCGATAATCTCCAAAAATTAGAAATGAAGAGAAATAAAGAGTTTGATCTGGGCCTGCATCTTCTGAAGTCTGTTGGACCTGGCAGCCATTCTAAACTATTTTAAACACTGCTCATATACCACACTCAAAAGATTTCTTGCTAAGTTTCCTTGATATGAGAATAGTACTATTGTATTCTAGAGGAGTTTTTGCTAAAACTATCTCATTTATGCTTTAAATAAAATTAGTAAGGCAAGTAGGGCAAGTTGAGCAGTCATATTAATCTCAGCAACAACTCCAATGAGCTTTTTTTAACACGTTCAGCTCATATAGAAAGGTTGGATAAACTAATTTTAGTTTAATGTTGCATTTGTTAGCCCAGAATATATGATGTTGTCTTGGTTAGCAGATAAGTAAAGATGGTTGTGAATATGATCTTACCTCCATGCTGTTGCATTTCCCACAGTGACACAATATCTGTCATCCTGGTCAGGGCTGACATCTAGGTCTGGGAGTGAGTCGTTAGGACTCTGGCTCACAGACTTCTTCTCCATCACTCTCTTCCCCTTCTTCTCCTTAGCCCTATTCACCAACATTTCATAGTCCTCAGATGAGCTGTCTGAAGAAATCTCTTCTTTTGGTTGAGTCTTTATATTATCAGATTTGTTTGACTTACATATTTTGGATGTTTCAGGCACATGAATGCTATGGAATTCATCAGAATCACTATCCGAATCACCATCTGAAAGAGGAACTTTTCCATTCTTCTCTTGGAATGGACTTTCTTGCTTTTCTGGGGCTGGAGAATCTGGAACAGCTGCCTCCCCTTCATCTGAAAATAGATTCTCTTCACTTGCCTGAAGAGCCAGTCTATTCTCATATACAGGTGGTTGGGAGTCAGGCACCCCTGTCTCCCCACCTGAAAATAAATCCTTATTTGCCTGTTCATTCAGTCCAGAGTCATTTAGGGGTGGGGGAATCTGGGACAGTAAAACTTGATTTACAGTTTTCCTTCGAAGTGCCACACTTTGACGTCACTCTTGAATGATCATCTAACCTCTTGGGAGACTCTGTACCATAGTCAGGTGATGAGTAGCCGGTCTGGTACAGCTCATTCTTCCCAGGGTGCTCATCTGTGCTGCATGACGAAGAAGACGACACTTTCTTCACAGGTCTGTTCTTCTTCAAAGACAATTTCAACCGTCTGCTTGGTGTTTCAACCGGCATGCCCGTCACACTGTTAGCTTCCTTACAACCTACCTTACTCCCAAACGACATTTGTTTTAGATTTTCTACAATGTTTTCTACGGCCATACTGTCTTTGTGGGCTGGTTTTACAGCCTTGTCCTGAGCTTCTAACTCTTGATGTCTTTTATGGAAGGACTCACTGCTGGTGGATCTACCGACACCTCCCACTGAAGATGTGCTGTCATCCTGTCCACTAATGATAATATCAGAGAAATGCCTTTCGGTGCAACTCTTCCTCACCTGAGCAACAATATCTGCAGTCTTAGCATCTCTGCTATCACCGTCAGCTAATTTCGGTTCCATTCTGCCACTTTTTGACAATTTCTCATCTAAATTATCAGCTGATGGATTGACATCTTTCTCACTCTCAACCTGATTTCCATCCTTCCCACTAGAGACTTTGAGACTAGAATTACCTGTGTTTGATCCAAACAGGTTAATTTTCTTCAACACATTGTCCATCAATCGTCCTGACTGGGAATTGGGTGTATTGTTGAACCGTTTCACAGACATTCGTAACTTTTCATAAGTTGCTGACTTCAGTTCAGCCAGAGTTGGAGTTCCACTGCTGGAGGTCTTCAACAAACAAGGCTGACTCCCTACTTGATGATTACTTGGAGGGAAGTATGGGCTTGTACATGCTCCATCAGCGCTGGCCGCCGCAGTCTGTGTGCGCGGTGTAACAACATCAGCATCATCCTCAGTCTGAGATATGTTAAGATCAGTCTGAACACACTGGTCAGAAACTTCATAAAACGATCCTTCAGATTCGCCTGGACTCTCACTGTCTCCAATGTGAATCACATGTTTTTCGGTTAGCACCTTTCCCTCTGAATCCGATGGTGATGATTCACAAATTATATCATGTTCCTTTTCCGACCCATCCTCAGATTCACTCTCAACGCTGCTGTCTCCTCCATCATCATCATGGCTCAATCCATGCTGGAGCCCCTTGAGTCTGTCACACAGATCTGTGACTCCAAGGTTGTTATCAATAACAGTAGCAGCACCATCACCAAAATCACTGTCACTATTGCCGCCTTCATCCGAACTCCCTGAATCAATGACCTTGACACCATGACCCACGGCATCCACCTGTCCATCATCAAGGTCTGTCTGTGCACAGGCATCCTCAACTTCATAATACGACCCCTCACTCTCATCAGTCCCTACATCAGATACCTCCCTATATCTCATTCCTAAGTCTCCACTCTGATGATTGCCGACAGGTTCCATGCCTGTGTTTTCCTGTACGGAACCACATACCTGAGCATCCAGACATTGCTTCATCCTTGTTTGTGTCTGGAGCATAAGTTTCGACGCTTCATCTTCAGACTCCTTGATTGGATCATCTTCATCTCCATGTTCAGATTTACATTTAACAGGCTCACTACCCACAGGGCTCTCCTCTAGTACACTGTAGTACTCCTCCTTATCTTCCTCAGTGATGCTCTCACCCACAACAGAGTAATAGTTCTCGGTGGAGGAATCCAGCTGCTTCCTCTTCAGCTCATTTGCACTGACGCTGTTGCGAATACGGATCAGTGTTTTGTCGGTTCGGAAATACCTTGCTCCATCAGATGGCCTGCCTTCCAGCTTATTGAATGAGCTTTGGTCATGAACAACACTAGAATCACAACTCTCACTGGACATGAAACTGTCCTGAAGTCTATACAGACTAAGACTCTCGCGGCTGTGGATTCGAGTTGATTCTACAAGCGGTACACCAATGTCCTCTAACAGTGATGGCATTTCTGAAAACACGTCAGAATTCTCAGAATTGCCACCAGAGAGTCTCAGGCTGCTTTCATTCTTAGGTTCATTACATTTCAGTGGACTCTCGGAGGCTTTTGAAGATTTCTTCTTCTTCTTGATCTCTCTTGTGAGGTCAGTACAAGCCTTGGATGCCTTGAGAGGATATCCATCACCACTCTCCTGTGAAGCACTGTTCTCAGTAACAGCTTTGTATGCTTTCTTTTTAGCCCTCTTCATTCTTTCCTTGGTCGATTCTGTGAATAATTCAAACCAAAACATATATGGCCGTCTGAAGGTAATGTATGTTTTAGAGTAAAACTATTTTCTTACATTTATCCTGACCCTAAAGTACCCCCTCCCCAAAACCATCCCCACTCTTCACTAAGCTTGGTTTTATTGGAACTTGAAAATGGAAAGAGTAATGGTCACTGGCTAGTGAGGGGTCCAGTTAGGTGAGATATTTTCACTGTTCATGGGGAATATAACCCAGATGTTTCCACTGTATCTCGGGTTGAGGGAGAGAGAAGCAAATAGTGTGAGTCACAATAAGGTAACATATAAACTCTTTGGTTCAGCCACCTGTACAATTCTCAACATACCCAGAATATAGCTTGGCCATTTGCCATGTGGAAATCCTGTGAAAATGTGTTATACTTGACACTTAGCGCTGAAGGAGTATCTTCTCTGAACACCTCAAATCCTTAGAACATCACATTAATAAACATGACAGGCCTTAAAGAGAAATGTCTCTTCGTACAACTGTGTCTTCGAATAACAAAAGAAATGGAGGTCAGATGTGGCACAAATTATTTCCGAAGTCATCCCTTGCAATACTTCACATGATAATGTCACAATACAGAACATGATATCGTGACTTCAAATGTTATCCAAACAATTCAACATTTCTTCTTGTATGTGTCTAGCTTCCATCTAGATGAAGCATTTACCCTACACAATAACATTTTACTCAATATTTTTTTCAAAGCCAGAAAGAAGTAGCAATAAATGATTCATAATCATTTTGTGATATACAATAATTATGCAATAAAAAGAATAAAAAGAAGATGTAACCCAGAAAAATCTCTATGTTCAATAATTACGCAATCAACTCAGCAGGGTCAAGAACCCACACATCTTTAATTTAGATTGGGCAGTCAAAGTTGGATCAGGATTTCACTGAACCTTCAGTGGAAGTGCCCTCACAGTTGGATCAGTATTACAGAAAAAGATCTCATTAAATGACACTGCACATAAGCTTTTCTGTGTAGTAAAATTCAAAAGATTGAAAGAAAAGGTGAAAAATAAACATTACAAGAAGAGTGAGTGAGTTTAGTGTTACGTCGGTTTTAACAATATTCTAGCAATATCACGACAGGGGACACCAAAAATGGGCTTCACACACTGTACCCATGTGGGGAATGGAACCTTGGATTTCAACATGACGAGCGGACGCTTTAACCACTAGGCTACCCCACCACCTCCATTACAAGAAGAAGAGGATAAACAAAAAAGGAAAATATACCATTTTTGGCATCACCATGTTTGTTTGCAACCCTCTTCTCCCCCTGGTTTTCCTTGTTGCCTCCGTCTTCAGACTTCACTCTGCTCCTGGTGCCTTTCTTCTTGCTGCTCTTGGTTAACTGAAACCATCACCATCATCATCATCATCATCATCATGATGAACGTGATCAGAAAGAACACTGGTTGATAGCATGAGCAGCAATCCATATCTATAGGGAAAATTGACAAACAAAATGTAGCTCCTCATAATACATGGCTACTGGGGATACTGAACATCTGCAGTATTCATTAATTATAATTCTGTCTTGGCAGTAGGTAAGTGGTATAAGCATTCACGCATCATGCTGAATGTGCAGGTTCGAATCCTCTAATGGGTACAATGTGTGAAGCAGATTGTTGGTCTCCCCTCCCATATTGCTATAACATTATTATCCTGAGCAGTGAGTGCTAATTATTAATTCTGTCTTGGCAGCAGGGAAGTGGTTTAAGCAATCACGCATCATGCTGAATGTGCAGGCTTAAATCCCTAAATGGGTACAATGTGTGAAGCACATTTCTAGTGTTGCCTGCCATATTTCAATAATACCCACTTTTTATGACATCTTCACTGTCCATATCACAGATCAGTGCCCATTCTACAGTGCTGGTCTGCTATACCAGACTCCATGCCTACTTACACATTGTAGGTCACTGCGACCCAGGTGATATAGGAGTGTAACATGTTATATTTGAGAATACACTTTCTTAGTAACGTACAGATTCTAGTATTTTGGGGGTTCAGTCACCCATCTGGGATTCGAACCCACACAGTCAGAGTCAAGCACCTAATCGTCAGCACACAAAGTCAGCGGCCTAACCCATTTAGGTTTGTGGAATGCAGTAGACAAGCAGCCGAAACTGAGAACAGGATTGATACTGATGCTGTTATTAATCATTTTCCTTACACTCTTCAAGGCAGTATCAATGTCTTTGTGCTGGAACCAGCCCAGTTTTTCTCCCATCTTTTGGAACAGTAGCTCCACATCTTGATTTCTGCCCTTTGATGGTGTACTCAAACCTTCTGCCATCTTCAGTCTTGAATAGCTCTAGCACTGAAAACAAAAACCACACACAGCTTCAAAGATACTGTGCATGGAATAGACAACATAGAACCAGCACTGTAGTAGTTGGTGGACCCCCGCTCCATTTGTGATTAAATATACTATACTAGAGAGGAAGCAACAAATTTCATTTGTAGAATTGTTGAAGATGCTGCTAATCAGTCCTACCAAGCAAAATAACTTGGCGATACATGTTCAAATTCAAGTCTCAAAGTATCTTTTCTCTCCTGAAACAGTAGTGGCACCAACAATGACAAAAAAGTGGCATCTGTTTTTAAGGGAAACAAAACCTCAACTTTGAAAGCCTCGAAATATGGGTTGGTTGTTTTTTCGCAGAAAATAGAAATTTGCTTATTATCGTCTATAACTTAGACAGGGTTTACTTGTGTTCAGCGCAATTCACATGGCACAGTGCAAAGCAACCCCTATCTGGTGATCAAGGAATGAGAAGCTATGGTAACAAAGGGTACATAATAAAGAGTTATAGTCAAACTGACACATTTTTATTAGTGGGTTGCTGACACCAATTAGCATACAGTGATTATGAAGGCTAATAACCCATGAAGGTCCGGGTTAGAATTGATCTTCAGTGACCCATGCTTGTCGTAAGAGGCGACTAACAGGATTTGGTGGTCAGGCTCGCTGACTCAGTTGACACATGTCATCGTATCCCAATTGCATAGATCGATGCTCATGCTGTTGATCCCTGGATTGTGTGGTCCAGACTGGATTATTTACATACTGCCGCCATATGGCTGGAATATTGCTGAGTGCGGCATAAAACTAAACTCACTCACTCACTAATTAAAATGGGAGCTGGACTTTAGAAGTTTCCCTTTAATGGAAGCCGAGGAAACAAAGACAAGAATTCCGAATTCCTTCTCAGTATGGGACAAAAGGAGGCGGCACTTATGCTTGAATATGTTCTGATAGTTTGTTTCTGAAAAAAAACATTCCTTAAAACACACTGTTAATCTGATATTCTGACAAAATGAATCGGAGATTTACCCATTAACATTGCTATAGACTTATTGAAGTTCCATTTACAGCATGTATGGGGCGAAAGCCCAAGGTCATTTAGAATTCATAGCATCTTCGCACGTTTAAGGGATGCAACTCTGCACAGCGAAACGTGAACAAAAAGAAGGGCCTCTGGAGGCTGCAGAACCTGGACAAAAACATTTGACAACACAAATTTGTCTAAATATTTTCGCTCATTCTGGTTTTACAGGGAAAACACAGTCCCTACTCCAAAATAATGTTGCAACTACTGACCTAAGTACAGTATGTCGAGTGTGTGTTGTCAAAAACAGATCTAGTATCATCTACCAGAACCTGGTCTCTCACTCTAGTCTGTGCCCTGTGGTGTAAATATATTCTTATTTTCACGTGGGGAAACATATGAAATTCGCCAATAACTCTGGCAAATCGGATTGTATTAAGCCCTACTTCCATCAGTGACAATGTCATGTCAAAATGACATGCATTACGACCGTTCGGTCACACAGTGACTGAGATTACTGTCCACTGTTGTGCAATGAAAACGTGAAAGCAACGTGATCGTTGATACGTCGAGGATAAAAGCAAATACAAAATTAATGTGCAGTCAACACAGAGTATAGAAAATGCATCTATTTCAAACAGCGGGATATTGGGCATTCCTATGTTTGACTGTTGTCCAAATTGATTTGGGATTTCTAATCGGGAGGGAAAGACGATCTCATAAAGCCTCGTACAAGATTGTTTACAAAAATTCAAAATACCCGCGCCATCTTTGATTTTGCCCGGAACTCTGGGGCATATGCAAATTAGCAGGTGCGCACTAAAATAAACAACAAACAGTTGTTCTTTTATACATCGATATGCTTGTAAGGCTTTAGAATAATATAGCAAATGATTGGTTGTAACATCAATTAATATGTAACTAAAAAAACGCTTGAGTCGGAAAACGTCGCTTTTTGTAGATTATACTTTCCAATAGACTAGTGTTCACAGACGCGAAATGTACCACACTGACATTGATCAGATAATCACCAATGTGGGTCATGTACTTTCGTCTTACGATGGAACACTATATTATAATTTACGTTTTGGCGCGAAAAAAGCAATTACAAAAACATTGTTAATAACACACTTTCCAGCTAAAAGAAGGAGTGAGTCAAAACATATTTTGTTCCATTATAGCTACGCAAGACCATTCTTGCACTGGCTTTAGTAACAGGTACAATATGAGTGACACTTTGAACAGCATTTCATTTTCTACATACACTCTGGCATCAAATATGACTGCAAGTACACTTGGTGTCCACACTGGAGTATTAAGGCCCATGTGACATTTGCCACCCATGTCAAACCCCAGAGCATGCGGATGGTGACGATAAACCTTGAATGATAATCAGTGCAAAAATCTGAGATTCGAACATATGGCCGTTGTATTCTGCCACGATTAAGGAACTCCACTCTGCATAGCGAATCGCGAAGACATGAAAATGCAAATGAATGACTGAATGAATGAGATTTCGTTAGTATGTTTCCCACCAGATGATATGTCTTACCTGCTCTCTCTCTCTCTCTCTCTCTCTCTCTCTCTCTCTCTCTCTCTCTCTCTCTCTCTCTCTCTCTCTCTCTCTCTCTCTCTCTCTCTCTCTGTGTGTGTGTGTGTGTGTGTGTGTGTGTGTGTGTGTGTGTGTGATGAAGTATTTCCTGCCTTGTGTATAGGGTACCAGTCGAATTGCCCCAGCGACAAAACGCCCCAGCAAATCTGTGTATATAACATACAGTACAACCAGAAATTATTGACAATTTAAAGATTGAATTTGTTAAAAATATGTCACTCATTACTCACGTATTAAATGTGAATATTAGCAGAACATAACTCCAGATTCAAAGACAGGTGAACAGTTAGTAACACATATATGCCACCCCACACGTTAAATTTCGGACTGTACTTTGGGCGCTGATACAAAGGTTTTTCAGTTTGTTTGGTCCAGAATTTCAGTGTATTAGGAAACAGCTATACAGAACTTTCATCTGAGGTTATCACATAAGCACCAGTTCAACCTTCGCTCCTTTTGTTCAGGTTTCATGATCGGTGATGGAATTCCTCGACTTTTCTGCCAACCCATTGCATGCAGCTCAGTTCTAATTGTCTCCTTACAGACAGCCACAGTTCCTCTATCAATAATATCCAGCCTTAAGTTTTCTAAACTCCTTCGTTTGTTTTTACAGACAAGAATACCAAGCTGCCTCCTGTCACCGACAGTCAATTTTCTGGGCCTACCTGCACCTCCCTGGTGCTCAATGCCATATCCATTTGCAATAGTTTTCAAAACACGATAAACAGTGGACAAAGGGATGCCTGTTCTATTTGCAATCACTTTAGCTGATCTGATGTCCTTGTTATAATACTCTAAAATCAACTTCCTCTTCTCTAAATCATCCATACTGAGGATCACTGAAAATGTCGTCTGCTAGCAAGTAAACAAAGGGGGATAACTCTTCTCAAACTAATGAAAAAGGATTAACGGGGTTGTCTCTCTTGAATGAAACCAAGCACTTGATAGCTGGTCAAGGTTGTTTATACTAGAAATCCAATTAAACATATTCCTAAAATTCTCAATTATTTATTTCTTTCATACTATATATACCATGATGTGTTTCCTACTAGGTATATATTTGTCATGATATGTTTCCTACTTTGCATATATTTGTCATGATGTTTCCTACTTTGCATGTATTTGCCATGATGTGTTTCCTACTTTGCATGTATTTGCCATGATATGTTTCCTACTTTGCATGTATTTGCCATGATATGTTTCCTACTTTGCATGTATTTGCCATGATGTGTTTCCTACTTTGCATGATATTTGCCATGCATATATGTGTTTCCTACTTTGCATATATTTGCATGTATGTATTTGCCATGATGTGTTTCCTACTTTGCATGTATTTGCCATGATGTGTTTCCTACTTTGCATGTATTTGCCATGATATGTTTCCTACTTTGCATATATTTGTCATGATATGTTTCCTACTTTGCATATATTTGTCATGATATGTTTCCTACTTTGCATGTATTTGCCATGATATATTTCCTGCTTTGCCTATATTTGCCATGTTTCCTGCATTGTGTATATTGTTTCCTGCCTTGTATGAACTTGGTGGAACAATTTTTCAAACTAATCGTTAGAGCACCACCGGTATATACGTTGCCTATCTAGCTAGTGATTAGGTGTGTACAATATGAAAATATTCGCTGCGCAGGTGCCCTTTCAACCGGAAGCACAGCGCTGGTTAAATCCGAGAAGGTGAGTACATAATTTATCAGGTGTGAGTGAATATTTTGACAATTTGAGCATATTTTAGTTCAACATGTGTGACAATATACTCTTTATAATCAACCAGACTGGCCGAACAGACTACTGGCCTGATGATAATTGAAATATCAACGTTAAAACCAGTTAGAATTTTTTGACAGTTGAAGTGGGACGGGCTGTTATCCACGATTTGACAGTTCTTTTACAAACAAATACCGGTTACCATTCCAAATTAATACGGTTCACGGATTCACAAGACATCAATTTAAGTTTATTTTCTGTTCCTTTCGAAAATGACCATTAATTCTGGTGGAATATGGTGCCAAACTTACCCATGGGACTCTTGAAAGAATGACGTTTCAAAGAATTATGATAATGATGCCACTGCCGGTTAAATTAATTTGTAACGTTTTTCGCCATAGTTTTCTTTTCAAAGGTCTTCCGTCTGTATATCTGAACTAAGGCTATTGTTTATGTTCCAATACATATGGCCACCAGCTTTATCTTATTCTGTAAATGCGATTTACTTGACAGCAGTACGTTTATTGTGGTGACCTACAAATGAACAGTCTCCATTGCATGCAAGCATGGTATTCCATTCTGTCGTATTGATTATTTTCACCTGGATGCTGTATGTGATTACTGGAATGTTGACGATATCACCCAGAATTGTGTCAATAGCTTTTGCTAACAATGGGACGTTAACACTTGACAATATATAAATGGGTAAATCATATATTCAGTTTGATCAGCTGTTGATATTGCTTTGTTGACAGGCAGATAGAATGTGCAATTGCTTGTTTTATGTCTTGCATCAGATACGCTTCATGCTTCTAAAGTTTCACCTTTGAGAAATAAGTCACGGAAATAACCAGTCCATTAACAGAATATATTCAACTATTTTCTGCTTTGCTAGAACATACAGACACAGACAACAGAGGATTACTTGATGCATTGCAAATATTTATTACAGTTTTTTAATGCTTCCATAATTTTGTGTTTATGGTCATATTTTTATGATCTATGGACTTAAAAATACAGCAACTGAAATAAAGGTCAACAGTTGGCAAAACTCATAAAATGTTAAGAATGAACCATTTTGTTTTACAAGTAGAAGGCATTATGTGCACATGAATAAAGTAGCTACAATACAAAATAGATATCAGAGAACAATGTAGACATCATATATTTAGGTAGCAAAGGAAATACACCATATGAAACAAAGAACAACGTGTAGCCATGAATGCAGTGCACACAAAAGAACACCTTGCCTGAATGACCGCCTCTGTAGTAAGGAATACTAGATGGCACTGCAGTTTGTACAACATTTTGGGTTTGATCTGCACATTCTACTGCCAATTATGCCTATAATGTGTAACACAATGTTGATATTAACAAAACATATATTTATGACACATTACTTGAGCACCCACTGTAACATCATATCTCTTAGGCCTGCAACAAATACACAAAGAGGCAAATATGAAATGCTTCACAAATGTATAGTAAAGAATACAAATATTTTATGAATATGTATCAAGGTAATAAAATACCAAACATGTAATTTAATTGCATCGGTTGAAACATTAAAAAGATTTCTGTAAAGCCCAAAAAACAATTGCAAACAATGCTGCTTAGAGCCTAATAACAGTGCTGTAAGGGGCCTTGGCAAAATGACACAAGTTATGCTACTGTATGGCTTGGATATAACCCATTCTGTGTATCTCACGTAGATATACAACAAACTAGTTCCAAGTAAAACACTCTCTTAAGGTATTCGTAAAAATCAGATTCTAATGACCTCGAATAATGAACTGAATTCATTAGGTATACTGTTCGATTCACTGCACACGCAAGTAAATCATAACAGTTCTAATGTCTGTGCTGCTATTACACTTTCTATACATTTAGTCGTTATAGCTAGGGGAGCCAGCTTCAAAATATTTGAAAACAGCTGTTTAAACATTGTGAAACTTTGTTTGGAGACAACAAACAACATAGCTATGGTCTTGTACCCATTAGTACCGAGCGCCAGGCAGGGACCAACAAGTACCATATCTTAATGTCTTTTGGTATGTCATGGCCGGGGATCGACCCCGCAACCTTCCACTCTTTGGGCAGACGCTCTAACCACTATACCACGGAGACGGTCATGTTGAAAGGATGCACCGATCATGATATACTGGTTTTGTGACAATCCTGTACGTACTGACCTGGTGCCAGGGAGTGGTTGGTTGTTGTTGAATGCCACACTCAGCAATATTACAGCTATATGGTCGGCGGTCTGTAAATAATTAAGTCTGGACCAGACAATCCAGTAATCAACAGCATGAGCATCGATCTATGCAATTAGGATACAATGACATGTGTCAACCAAGTCAGCGAGCTTGACCACCCAATCCTTACAACAAGCATGGGCTACTGAAGATCAATTCTAACCAGGATCTTCACGGGTCTGGGTCAAGTTAATGCTTTAAATCAAGCCTTGCAACCTGTTTCACCATAGATGTTACGAACAATGCTATTGTATTTTTTCCCATTCTTTTTGTCAGATAAATATTGTGTATTTTCTGAATTGTGTGTTTGGAATCAGGCGTGGAAATAACCAATTGCCTGACGCCCGAGACCAGTGTTTTTTTCTGTAGGGCAAGAAATTTGTATATCACACTGTACCGGTGTCCAGTTGACTTTCCAATATTAATTATAAAAAATCAACAAGAAAACGGCCGGTATAGTGGAAAAATTATTAGGGCAAGTGATTTTACATGTGCCACTGTACCGGAGTACACTAGCATTTTTAAAGTTATTTCCTCCCCTAGGAATATTAGATGCTGTGAAGTTTCATCTTAAGCAATGAGTGATGTCTGTTTCTTCTGTAATCAGGTAATAACTGAACTCACCTGGTTGACAGAATGTGGAAAACACAACTACATGTTCTTATACATATTGATCAAGTTTATGTTTAATTAATATTCAAATGATAATGTCTAACGCTTTTTCCAAAAAAGGGATTTTCTTGTTTGAATTGAAACCGAATGATCATGATGATATAGTGAAGAAGACCCAGCATGGACTGTGTGAACATCAAATTCGATTTCATATCAGAACAGAAATATCATATAAATCAAATTTGTTTCAATTTATCATTCCAGTATCCATTCTCGTCCAGTGGGACTCGCAGTAGATATTATTTGCATCCATTGTCTTGTGCATTGGACATGGAATTTTGTGCCTGGCAAAACCCTGGTTTGTAATACTTTCCCCTATCAGGCGTTGTTGTCGATAGCTACAGCAAGGTAAAAGCTGAACCAGATGCTGTCTTTGTTCTGTTTAATCATATTCTGCCTAAACAGCCATGGTGAATAATAGGGTGTGCTTTCCATAAACTGACGTCATGAACATAAATCTATGCAACTCTAATACGATGCCGTTCATCAACCAAGTCAGCAATCCTGACCACTAGTCCTCTAACAATTCACTTGGGTATTTTGTGTGTATCCCTTCATAAATTCATTATTTGTGGTCACTAGAAACAAATATTTATGAATATTTTTAAGAGGGTGGTTTTACTTGGAGCTAGTTTGTTGTTTACCTAAGTGAGATTCACAAAATGGAATATATCCAAACCACACAGTATAACTTGTGTTATTTCGCCAAGGCCCCTTGCGGCACTGTTATCAGGCTATAAGCAGCATTGTTCTCTTAGTATTGTTTTTGTTGCTTTATAGAAAATATCATTTTAATGTTCATGTAAGTAATTACAAGAGATGTTTGTTATTTTCCTTCCTGGTCATTAGACCTAAAGTATTCATGAATAGATATTTGTATATGTACTATATATTCGTAAAACAAATCTTGTTTGCGTCGTAGTGTTTTCGTCTCAGCCTGGCCAGCTGATCATATAGATCCCTCAGCACAGTTTGCTGAATACCACTTGAACAGGCAAAAACAGCAGTATAAAATTCCTGTTTCCAGGTATAGACTGACTTATCCCATGCTGATCGTGGCACAGAAGTAGGTTTTATATCACTTCAATTTCAAGGATGATGACTGAATATCTTCCAAAATGTCGAAAGGTGTTTTTCATTTGTTAATCATACAGAAGAATTTCCTATCAAAAAGTGTTAAAATGAAGAAATTGTGAAAAAGGACATGTCCCAACCACCACCATCATCATCACCATCATCATCATCATCATCTTGAACCTAAGGGCTTAGGGCTTATGATTGAAGGGTCTTTAAGTGACCTGTCACAAATATTACACACTGTTTACTATGATAATGATGAATTTATATCAATAACAACTTTATGTGTGGATAACAAACAGGAATGCCTGACAGTGGTACAAGAATCTATCAAAATGTCACACTCACGAAACAGAAGTTATTATCCATTCTACAAAGCCACTCAAAGTAGATTGTTATTTAAAACTTAGAAGTCATGCAAACATGGTATCTCAGTTCCCAAACATTGTGTTCCAGTCAATACCTTGACAGGGTATAATGACACTGTTATGTCGAGGTATCTCTTGTGAACAAAGCAGTGTGTGTACAAGCATTACATCATCAGATAGCTTCAACAAAGACCTCCCACAATGTAGGTCACATGTATGCAACATTGATAAGTATCTTCCATAGAGGAGTAAGTGGCTTTGTCTATTGGATCCTCTTATAGACTTAGCTCTTGTACCTTTTGTCAGGGTCATTACACTGTTCACTGACTTTCAAAGACGTTCTACAAAGGTCGACATAGGAAGGCTCCAAAGCCAAACTAGAGAGGGTAGACTGTTGATCACCTGGTTCAAACATTTTAGTGTTTCACGTGTATTCTGCTGTGTCAGGCGTACAGAGGAGCAAGTCAATACATCGATCTAGCTGAACTGACGGAATTTGGAAGATTGTGTTGTGTTTTTTGTTCAAGGAATTTTTGAGGTTTGTGCAATATAATTTTAGAGTCTTGATTAAGATGTCTTTGAGGGGCATTTTTAGAAG